CTGTCTGTCTGTCTGTCTGTCTGTCCGTCCCTCTGTCTGTCTGTCTGTCTGTCTGTTTGTCCGTCCGTCCCTCTGTCTGTCTGTCTGTCTGTCCGTCCCTCTCTCTGTCTGTCTGTCTGTCCGTCCGTCCGTCCGTCCGTCCCTCTCTCTGTCTGTCTGTCTGTCCGTCCCTCTCTCTGTCTGTCTGTCTGTCCGTCCGTCCGTCCCTCCCTCTGTCTGTCTGTTTGTTTGTCCGTCCGTCCGTCCCTCTGTCTGTCTGTCTGTCTGTCTGTCTGTCTGTCTGTCTGTCCGTCCCTCTCTCTGTCTGTCTGTCTGTCCGTCCGTCCGTCCGTCCGTCCCTCTCTCTGTCTGTCTGTTTGTCCGTCCGTCCGTCCGTCCGTCTGTCTGTCTGTCTGTCTACCTATCTATCTACCTATAGTTCTGTCGGTTTAAACAAAGCATAACCACATCAAACCAAAGTAATGTCATATTGACGTAATTGCCAAACTGTTGGAGATCTGTGTTTTTGCTGTGGAGGATATGATTTAGCCAGGAGAATAAATCTACTGAATGTTTCTCCGAAATGATCCAGCTGGCTTTCCAGACACGAACTCACGATGAACAGCTCAATAAAAGCACTCTTGTTTTCCTCATAACAACTCAAGTTTCCTCGTGGCATGTTAGCGTGTCTGACTTCTCTCCAGAACAATCTAACAAGGCTGTCAAGGAACGGACAGAGAAGAATACGAAGAGGAACAACAATGTTTTTTGTTGTCAGGAAAACGTGTTTTTGTGCAGGTTGGGTTGGAGTAAGATGTGGTTTCAGTGACAAGATGTCAGTTTTCTGCCCACTGACTCTGATGCTTCCTGTCAATGGAGGAGATAATGCACATGTCAAAATGCATCATCTCACTTCACTTGTCAGCACGGTGAGAGTCCGGCGCTCTGCACGGAGGTCAAGAGGTCAATCGACTCCAGGTTAGTGAAGTTAGACGAGGTATCAAGAACACAGACGTCACTTTCTGACAAGATGCTTTCTGATGTGGAGAGGACTGAGTCTGAGAGTATAAAAACAGACCAGGAAGTCAAAAATATGGCATTAAAAACGTCTGTTCTGGAGTCAAAGTGACCGAGGTAACCTATGACTAGATGAACAGATTATTGTAGTCTTTAGCATTTAGCTAACGTATACTGCAACCCCTAAAAATGTGTTAGTAGTTAATATAATGGCCCTTTCCATTGTCAAAAAATGCTAATGCTAATGAAACTTTCTAACCCCGACAAGGCTATTGCTAACACTACTTTGTCCAATGTTTGTTTATTTAAATTTTAAACAAGAATGATCTAAATGGCAAAATGTAATTTCTTTGTGCATTTTTGTCAAATAAATAACTACTTGATTAGCGTAGTTGTTAGCAGGTTAGCTAAGACGTTTTGAAGTTGACTCTGTCCGTTGAAAGAAATGCTAACGCTAGGTTTCTACTGTAGGCAGCAAGCTAGTGAGTTGGTTATAAGCTAACATTTGCAGCTTTTAATAGAACATTTGAATACAAAATGTAATTTCTTTGTGCATTTTTGTCACAGAAATAACTACAGATTAGCTTAGTTGTTAGCAAGTTAGCTACAACATTTTGTATTAGCTAATGACATGCTCCTTTTGTTGTAAATAATGCTAACACTAGGTTTCTAATATAGGTGGAAGCTAAAATGTTTGTGTTAAGCTAACATTTACAGATTTTAAGTATTTAAATACAAAATGGGTTTTTCTTGGTGCACTTTTCCCACAGAGATAACTACAGATTATCTAAGGCTTTAGCATTTAGCTAACTAATATGGCAACCCCTAAAAATGTGGTAGTAGCTAATAAAATGGCCTTTTCCGTTGTAAAAAAATGCTAACGCTAGGTTTTTCCTGTAGGTTGTTAGCTAGTAGGTTAGTGTTAAGCTTTAAATGGAGAATAATAATAGAGCATGTACATTTTTCTTACAGTTATAACTGCTTATTATCGTAGACATTGAAAATAATGCTAACGCTAGGTTTCTACTGTAAACTAGAAAGTCTGTGTTAAGCTCACATTATCAGCTTTTAATAGAGCATATAAATACAAAATGTAGTTTATTTGTACATTTTTGTCACTAAGATAGCTACAGATTATCATTCTTACTTCAAATGTGGGGAAATCTGCTTGAATACGGTTGCTAGACTATTGGATATGTGGTGTTTAGGGGCAGTGTTTGGCAGATGAAATGCTCCATCATCCTAAATATATAGCACATTAAAATGAATACACTACAGTTACTACCTCATGTGTGTTTCTCTCTATTCCAGTCTGCCTTTTTGACTCCGCAGCGTTATGACAGCAGCAGTCTGGCTGTGGTTTCACGCCTTGAATACTAAGGTGCTGTGTAATATAAAAGTAATTTGCAGTGGGATGACAGGGGCGTTGCATTCAGAAGGTTTTGTGGTGAAAATGTAATAGCAAACATCGAGATCTGCCGATGGGGGACGCATGCAGACAACCCTTTTGTTCAAGGGTCAATCCCTATTGATCTCAATGACATTCTGCAGCGAGATTTCTACCTGATGAAAGATAAAGAGGATTGTAAATCGATTTCATTGATGTTGTTGACGTCCCCCTCCCCTCCTCCTTCAATTTAACTTACAGTACAATGGCGTCTCAAAGATGACACTTCAATATGAGAATAACCAGTGCATTGTGGACTCATGCGGAGATAATGCAAGACAGAAAAGGGTGGAAATGATTCAAAGCGATGATGAAATGTCTGCAAACACAAGGTCAGACTCTCTCGATGAAAAGCATTAAACACTGCCACACCACCTCTCTTCTTATCCTCTCCTTTCACTCGCATTTGTTTATTTCTGAGCAGTAATTAGAATAAATGTGTGGTCTCGCCTTGCTTAATATTCATGGCTGCTTTTTTCTGATTTCCTCTGGCTGACTGCTTAATGATTTTCAACAGCGGTTCACGCCTGTTAAAAGATATTAAGCTTCAGAGTGGCCTGCAAAGCCAATTATATTTGGACATTTCATGTTAGTGGTCACGCTCCATGTCAAAGGAGTCTACTGCCCCCTGGTGGCTCATTACTGCACTTACACCTTCTGAGAAAATGCACAGAAGCTCCATTTTATAATATTTCTGGTCTGTAATTTCCTTCAAATGCATTATTTTAAATTCCTGAGACAAGGGAGTGAGACTGTTCATTTTCAAATCAAATCAAATCAAATCAGGTTTTATTTATAAAGCACATTTAAAAGCAATTTTTGGTCGAGCCAAAGTGCTGTACATGTAATAAAAACACATTACTACAAAATTTTAGAGCAGTGTTTTTGCATTACTTAACATACACTTACTATCAAATAACATATTTCTATCTAGGAAAATCTGTAAAGATCAACATATTAAAAGGCTATGTCACCATTTTGGTATTTTATTCCGACATAAATTACTTTTTGAGGCATTTTATGGACAGAAAACACCTTTCCATGTGTTTGTAAGACACACACCATGCAGATTTGATTTGCATTTACAGCAATGGATCTATACTAGCAGACTGTCTGGAGGCTTCAGTCTTTTCTATCTGTTTCCCACACTCCAAAAACCATCAGACAGTACAAGACATGAATTTTAAATCAGCCATATCAACGTGACCGAACTAAATCCGAAACTAACCCTTAATTTCCTCAAATGAGCTATAAAGTCACTCCTGTTATGAAGGCGTCTTATTGCAAATGCCCTGAAGATGTAACATGTTATTGATTGAGTACCAGAGACTTTCTAATGAGATTACTTTGCACACTGCACTCTTACTCATAGCTCTAAATGTCCCACCAGCAAACAAGCCAACTGGACTGGTTAGGCAATAATGTTGGTGACAAATCAATGACCCAAAATGAGTCACATGACCTGTTCTTGCTGTTCGTTCTTCAAACGATGGCAGCTGACAGGCAGGGTTTCTGTAATCCTGCTAGTAATCTCAATTGTTTCTTCTATATGTGACAGTAATCCAGAGATGGAGAAGTACACACATCCTTTACTCAAGTAGAAGTACAGATACTCGTGTTTAAAAATACTCTGGTAAAAGTAGAAGTACTGACTAAACTTCTTTACTCAAGTGAAAGTAAAGAGGCTTTGAAATGTACTTCAGTAGAAAGTACCCATAACTAGCAGCTGTTTTAAAGAGTACCTGACCTCCCTTTATATTAATAGAACAATAATGTCATTGTTAGCTAATGAATGTTTCCATGCTGAACAACGGCAACATGACAACGTTTTCATTGGTCCCTCTTCTTTAGAGAAGACCAGGAAATGATGGATACACGGATCGTGTTCAAATCAATAGGCACGCAATGACTCTAAATAATAATGATCACGCCACCAAACACACATTCAAACTAAAGGAACCAGCCTGTTTGGAAAATGTAAGAAGTAGAAAGTACAGGTATTTGTGTTCAACATGTAAGAAGTAGAAAGTACAGGTATTTGGGTTCAACATGTAAGAAGTAGAAAGTACAGGTATTTGGGTTCAACATGTAAGAAGTAGAAAGTACAGGTATTTGGGTTCAACATGTAAGAAGTAGAAAGTACAGGTATTTGGGTTCAACATGTAAAAAGTAGAAAGTACAGGTATTTGAGTTCAACATGTAAGAAGTAGAAAGTACAGGTATTTGTGTTCAACATGTAAGAAGTAGAAAGTACAGGTATTTGTGTTCAACATGTAAGAAGTAGAAAGTACAGGTATTTGTGTTCAAAATGTAAGAAGTAGAAAGTACAGGTATTTGTGTTCAAAATGTAAGAAGTAGAAAGTACAGGTATTTGTGTTCAACATGTAAGAAGTAGAAAGTACAGGTATTTGGGTTCAAAATGTAAGAAGTCAAAGTAAAAAGTCGTCAGAAAAATAAGTAGTGGAGTAAAGTACTGATACCAGAAAAATGTACTTAAGTACAGTAACAAAGTATTTGTACTACAAAGTAATCTGATTACTTCTACAGCAGTATTTACCTCTGTGAGCCAGTTTCTGAAGCAGGATCCTGAGGCGTTGCAGAGCAGAAGAAGAAATATCGTACGTGTACAAATCTGCAGCCGCCAACTCCTGGCAGCGTCCAAACACTTCATCTGGAAGAAGAGAAGAAGAAAACTGGTTATGGACGGGTTTGTTTTAATAAAATTAGACATTTTGACCCAGTTGAAATGCTCTAATGGTGTTTATTAGACAGTTTAGCTGAATACTCAATGCTGATTGGTCAACTTTGAACATTCTGCAGTCTATTATTTTCCGCTAACAGACCGTTTTGCTAAGGAAAGCAGATTGTTGCACTGCTGGACGTCAGAGAAATCAGCAGAAAGGAGACTCTGGAGACATTTTGACCCAGTTGAAATGCTCTAATGGTGTTTTTTTACACAGTGTAGCTGTATACTCGATGCCGATTGGTCAATGTTGAACATTCTGCAGTCTGTTATTCTTCGCCAACAGACCGTTTGTCAGAGAAATCAGCAGAAGAAGACTTTGGCAGTTTTAAAAGACTTGGACAGTTACAGAAAACCTTGATTAGTGACGTTGCTGTGTGTGTGTGTGTGTGTGTGTGTGTGTGTGTGTGTGTGTGTGTGTGTGTGTGTGTGTGTGTGTGTGTGTGTGTGTGTGTGTGTGTGTGTGTGTCTGTGTGTGTGTGTGTGTGTGTGTGTCTCTGTATGTCTGTCTGTATGCCTGTGTGTGTGTGTGTGTGTGTGTGGTGTGTGTGTGTGTGTGTGTGTGTGTGTGTGTGTGTGTGTGTGTGTGTGTGTGTGTGTGTGTGTGTGTGTGTGTGTGTGTGTGTGTGTGTGTGTGTGTGTGTGTGTGTGTGTGTGTGGTGTGTGTGTGTGTGTGTGTGTGTGTGTGTGTGTGTGTGTGTGTGTGTGTGTGGTGTGTGTGTGTGGTGTGTGTGTGGGTGTGTGGTGTGTGTCTGTGTGTGTGTGTGTGTGTGTTATCATGCATTCTACCTCGTGTGATTAGATGGGATGTAATGATGTGAATCAACACTCTGTCACGCACCAGAGTCCCATTAATTAGGCCCAAGATGTCGGACAATGACAGCAAACATCAGCGCTTGGATTGATGTTCGTTGACACGTCGGGGACTGTGTGGTCGTTCAGCGTAAAGTAAACACAAACAAAAACACTGATGTCAGATACATGCTGCCATTTCCTGTCTCCTCCTCCATAATATCTCTTAATCATCTGTGGGATTTGACATGTTGATATGAAGAGAGGGACAACCATTGCATCAATATATTGCCATGTCTTTTATGCTGCTGCAACACAAACATTTCCCAAATTGGGATCAATAAAGTACTTCTTATCTTATCTCATCAAGAAGAACAATATTCCTCTTTTTTTTTAAGTCAAGCAAGATCACTTTTCTAGTTACGATCAACGCTTTGCAACCCCCAAACATTTTGTAGTAGTTGATTAAGTGCCCCTTTCCGTTGTCAATAAACCTAGCCTAGCATCTAAGCTAACACTTGTAGCTGTTAATATATTACATTTTTCTCACACAGAGATAATTACAGATTATTGTAGATTTTAGCAATTTAGCTAAACGTGGCGTTAGCAGGAACAATGTTCTAGCTACGAGAAACATATCACAACCCTTCATCATGTTGTAGTAGTTAATGATGTGCCCTTTTCCGTTGTAAATAAACGCTAGGTTTCTAAGCTAGCGTCTAAGCTAACACTTGCAGCTGTTAATAGATTACATTTTTCTCACAGAGATAACTACAGATAATCGTAGATGTTAGCAAGTTAGCTTAACATAGCGCTAGAGAGATCAACGCTCTAGCTACGAGAAATATATATCGCAACCCTAAGCATTTGCAGGAGCTAATGACGTGGCTCTTTACATTGTAAAAAATGCTAACATCTGCAGCTTTTAATAGGGTTTATAAATACAAAATGTAACTTATTTGTACATTTTTCTCAGAGATAACTACAGATAATCGTAGACGTTAGCAAGTTAGCTAAACATAGCGCTAGTGAGATCAACGCTCTAGCTACGAGCAACAAATTGCAACCCCCCAAAGATGTATAGTAGCTAATGATGTGCACTTTTCCATTGTAAATACTGTAGGTAGTTATCTAATTAGTTAGCTAAATGTAGCGTTAGCAAGATCAATGCTCTAGTCATAAGAAGGTAAGGTATACTTGCAAACCCCAAACATAATATCTATGGAACATTTTATAAAAGGACATCTATTTAGACAACACTAAGCATCTGTTTTCACCTTTGATTGCAAGTGAAATAAATACAGATGATTATGGAGTATATAGCTTGATGTCAGGTACTAATTTGAACTCTAATTTTAAACGAGAAGCGGATCTTTTCCCTGATTCCCCCCTTCGTCTGTGACTCGTTTGATGACAGCTCTGTACAGGAAGTCGCCCGTGGGAGGAGGTGAATTAGCACAGGAGATATTTGGGGATATTTAACAGCGTATAGAGGAAAAACTTCCACCTACACATGCGTCACAGACGTCTGAAAAGCAACAATCCAACCCCTCTCTTCACTGACTTCCGGTATGTTTTATTTGTGCTAATAAAACACGTATTATGTAAGAAACAAGCGGGGGAAGGTGACAGGAAACTGGTGAATGCTTCACGCTCTGCACTGAATCCCTAATTGGTTTCCATAGCAATCGGTATCATTGAACATTTCCTTCTCCGGTGTGCAACCAGACAGTCATGCAAACAGGTTGAAAATAGAAATGAGAGGTGTTTTACTACCAGGAAATCCTTATATGGCACACAATTACTGAATGCACATAATGCATGGTGCACATAATGCTACATCTCTATCAAAGCAGATCAGAACCGGTCGTTTTTGAATGATTTTCTGTCAAGTTTAGGGAAATATTAAGCTGATAAATGCATCAATTTGTGACGGACAAAAGGCAGAGGCTTGTTCAAATCAAGAACAAAAATTCACAGCAATTAAATATAAGATAATACTTTCTTAAATATGTGAGACAGTCGTCGTACGTTCGATCATTTTGAACAACAGATCAGAACAGAGACGCTGTCTATTGATCTTCTGTCAGCTTTAGGGAGATATTAAGCTGACAATGCATCAATTTGTGACGGACAACTGCAATGCAAATGAACATTAATCAATAATGCATGAAACAGGGCCAAAGAATCAATCACTCAACAACTCAGTGTCACTTAAGGGAAGCCACGTCTGGATAAATGCCATGTTGACAGGAAGATTTTCACCCCAAAAGAAGTTAACTCGCTGTAAATCCAGACTCTGCTCTGACAGCTTAACGCGACATCCTGCTGCTGCTGAAGCTGTTTCAACTGTGAAGGCGAACACTGAGGGATAAGAGGAGCAAACACTGCAGCTGACAGTCAGCAAAGCTTGGCTCAGAGGCTGTGTCAGGAGGACACAAATGAAGACGTATCGAGACAGGTGTATCTGCCGAAAAATCAATGCACAGAGACCGGCCAAATCTAGTGTGCTAATAAATAAAAGAACAAGCTTAAAGAACAGATTATTCAGCAGCGTCTGAACACTGTGGCTTTGAAATGATAATTACACTAATGCATGCACTGCAGAATACATGTAAATACAGAAATAAATAAACATGAACACACTCCCTGTTCAATTTGGCTGTGGAATATGAATTATCTCTATTAATACACCTTGTTTTTATCTTAGAAATCCCATTATATCCCATCATATTACCTTTTTGTGCAGTCTAATAATTGTAATGCTTACTTATTTGTTATAATTCTTAAATTTGCACCTACTGTGTTTGCATTTTTGCAGATTGTTGCATGCATTGATCAATAGCAGCATCACCTAAATCAATTAAAACTAAAACACACTGCAGATATTTTAATTAGCTGCATTAATACACCTTGTTTTGACCTTTAAAATCCCATTATATGTGTTACTGAATAACCTTTTTGTACAGTCTCTTAATTGCAATGCTTAAAGATATTTCCTCTTAGATTTGCACCTACTGTGTTTGCATTTTTGCAGATTGTTGCAGGCATTAAGCAATAGAAGCATCACCTCAGTCATTTCAAACTCAAACACACTGCAGATATTTGAATTAGCTGCATTAATACACCTTGTTTTCATCTTTAAAATCCCAATATATCCCTTATATTTGCCACCAAATAACCTTTTTGTACAGTCTCTTAATTTCCTCTTGGAGTGCACCTACTTGCAGAAATGGAACAATAGCAGCATCACCTTAATAATTGAAATCTAAAATACTCTGCAGACAACAGAATACCCACCAGTCGATAACACACTGTTGGTTAAGTGTTAAATACGAGACAACTGGTGCCCTCGAGGAATCTGGCAGCACTTATCCTCTGTACTTTAACTCAGATTATCAAACCAGTAAAAGACTCCGGAGAGTTGCATCAAATTAAAATGCATTTCCTGTCTCAGGGTAATCACATTGTGTTTGCTTTTAGAGGAACCTCTGAGAGTACTTCCCCTGCAGATTGAAATAAACATTTGAAAAGGCTGGATCCTAAATTAGACATGACAGAAGCAGCACAAGAGCTAATGATATACGGAGGATGGTAATTGAGCTAAACCATCAATCACGCTAACTAGTACTGTAGAAGAACCTAATAGGACTTCAGATATACTTATTTGAAGAGGATATCATGTGGAAAGTAGAGCTTAATTCATTACAGGAATGAACCAAAATATATTCAATTCGCACAAGTCACACGCTGCAAAATATAAGCAATGCCTTCAGTGTTAGCTCAAGCGCTAGCTAGCATAGCTTTAGCTTCCATTTGTACATACTGTACCTTATGGCTTGCTTTAACCACATTTAACTAAAGTAAAACCTATATACAAATCTTCATTAGGTGTGTTTACCTTCTTCTTTTGATTAGTTATCTTTGTATCCATCTGTAGTGCATTATAACACGTCATGTCGGTACATCGCTTTGCTAGCGCTGTAATTAGCATGATTAGCATGTTGCTATTGCCCACATGTGCTCTGAGTCTTGTTTACAAACACTGCTAACTCATATTAAAGGTGATTAATACTTATATAATTAGTGTTATTTATATGTGTTTTAATTTAGATGGCTGTATAGGATATATTTTGCATCATGCAGATTGCAATATGCTTATTATGTAATTAAATAATGATTTACTTACATTTGTACACACAGCTACCTCTTGTATATCTGCACAGCTTTCCACTTTTCATACCAATACTGCACACATTCTATCTTATTCTATGTTATGTTTAGGAGCATTCTGTCATTATACTGTAGTTCTTTGGTATATCTGGTGTAATTAAGGTGATTAATACTTATGCAATTAGTATTAAATATGTCATGTATGTGTGTTTTAATTTTAGATGGCTGTGTAGAATATATTTTGCACATTTCTACACATTTGATTGTTTGTCGAATTTGCACTATCCTCCTTTTAATGCACAATGTCATCGTTGCACCTTTAATCTAAATATATGTCTATTCTATGCTATTTCTTGTTAGTTTTTATGTATTTTACTGGTAACTGTATTCTGTGTGATATCAATGTGAAGCACTTTGAACTGCACTTATTGTATGAAAGGTGGCGGTGCTTATTATTATCATTAGACCTCATTTATAAAAATGGTTTCTGATTGAGCAGCTTCTTCCCGACACCTTCCCTCCTCCTCAGCGGATCTCCATGGCAACAGGAAGAAGAGCACGGTTGTTTTTTCCATCCCAGAATAACCCAGGTTACTCCTTCAGGGACGAAGTGTCAGACCCAGTTATTCCCACTCTTCCTCTTTGTGTAGATTATGTGCCGAGGTGTCTGACAACTAAAACTAACCACCCGGTTAAAATATATAAAAACAACTAAACATGTGGTTAACCTGGATAACAACACTATGAATGCTTCTGACAATATAAAGCAGGATATTATACATTAATTGTGCAAGGAATGGATTATTAAATATTGAATTGACCCAGTTACTCCCACTCTTCCTCTGTCTGCTGCTCTTCATCATCAGGCTAACGGAGATTATTCATGCTTTGTTTCCTAGTAACTGTAATTATGGCAGAAAGTGTCCAAAACATTATCAGGTGTGCTGAAGACTTTCCCTTTCCATCAAATTTAATTGTATTATTGTTGTATTTTTGATGTATTTTATCTAATTGTATTTGTTTTTCTCTTGTCTTTTAATTGATCTTTTAGCACTGTCTCTCATTTGTTAATCTGTAAAACCCACTGATGTGGTATATAGCTATGTTTCCTATTAACTGTAATTATTAAGGAGGCAGACAGTGTCCAAACACTTTAAGTGTGTGTTGAAGACCGTCCTTTTTTTAATAAAGCCTATATTTAAAGCTGGTTACCCAATGTTTGTCCTACACTTTATGGTATTTTATTGTATTTTTATTGTCCTTTTTGTTGTATTTCATCTAATTTTATCTGTATTTCACACTCCATCTTGTCTTTAAATGCATCTTTTAGCACCGTCTTTCATTTCTTAATCTGTAAAACCCACTGATGTGATATTGAGCTATATAAATAAACTTTGATTTGATATTTTAGAGTGAGAGGGTTCATATACGCGCTTCACATTTGGCCTGTAAATAAAAAACACACGGAGAAAATGGAAATGAAAATTTGCATTTTACTCCAATGTAATATAAAACTTCCACACCATGAGCCTCGGGGTTTTTCCTGTCGAGGTGTCAGCACTTTCTCACTAAGACACAGCTCCCCTCTGAACCAATGCTAACAGCGTAATTAAAGTCCGTTTTTTTACATATGTATCTCTCCTCCACTGCCTCCTTTCCCCCTGTTTCCTGCTAACTGGGTTAATATGGAGATCAGGGTACAGATCTGCAGATTTGCAGCAATTCCAAAGACACTATAAGATCTTATCTTCACTAACTTCAATAGCTCCATAAGAAGATTGCAATATGCTTATTATCTAATTAAGTATGTATTTATTTATATTGGCATCAATATTGTCTCTAGTAGGTGTCATTTCTCTTCAAAGCACTTTGGTTTACATTAAATAACTGATTAATGACTGCGAATTAACTATAGCGAACATTAGTGATCTTTCTAACAAAGCGGCTACTGAGCAACACAGTCTCACGGCATTTCGTGTTATAGTCACAAAATTAATCTATTGATTCGTGTTCACCAACACGATTTTCGCATTTTGTTCGTGTCACACAGAACGATTTTAAAAGCAATGTAAATAATAACAAATTAGAAGGAAAAAGACATTTAAAAAAATACAGATTTCAGTATTCTGACACAGAACGATTTTAGAAGCAATGTATTTATATTGGTAGTATGTTTCGTGCCTGCACCAAATAATAACAAATTAGAAGGAAAAAAAGATGACATAAAATACAGATGTCAGTATTCTGAGGCTCTGAGACATTTCTTTTCCTCACTGACGGCAAAAAAACTCAGACATTATACAATTTAAAATAAAAGAGATAGGGTTAGGCTTAGGGTAAGATATTGAGTAAGAACATGTTTTTATGAACCACACAGCTTCCGGTCTTCCAAGACCCGACCGGACAAAAAGACGTGTTGCAGGCACGAAACATACTACCAATAGAAATACATTGCATTTAAAATCGTTCTATGTGACACGAAAAAAATGTGAAAATCGTGTTGGTGAACACGAATCAATAGATTCAATTAATTTCGTGACTAATAACACGAAATGCCGTGAGACTGGGTTGTACTGAGTGTTCAACCCAGTCTCACGGCATTTCGTGTTATAGTCACAACATTTAATAGGGAACTCATCTGTTCAACATAGCCTTCCAACAATAACTCACTCTCCCCCCACTGCAATGTTACACTTCCATTTCTGCCCCCTGTTTTATGTTTTATGTCTTGTCCTTAGATGTTTCTTTGTAAAGCGACCTTGAGGTTATGAAAGGCGCTATATAAATTCAAATTATTATTATTATTATATGTCTTCATGTTATTATATTCTTGATGATACGCGTAACTATTAGCTGTTGTTCCAGATAAATGTCTTGTTTTGAGTTTTGTATAAAGTCCATTTTCCCACTTTCTGTTGAGTTGTGTTTCTCAATTTATGAGTCTGTTTTTCCATCAAACAGATTTCTTCCACAATTGTTACCCATTGGTTTTTCCTTGGTGTTGATCCCATGAAGTTTTAATAATGTTTTTCTCGGACATGACTCACACAGCGTGTCTGAAAAACGCTGCTCTTCTCTAACGACCCTCCATCTTTCTATAAATCCCTGAATGATTAAAAATAGCCGGGTCGATGCTGGCTGATACCACGGGGACGATGTACTGTAGCATATAATGAGGGTTTGTGGGCGGACGAATAAAACAAGCTGTGTGACGTTGGAAATGAAAACAAGTCAGTGTGTGTGTGTGTGTGTGTGACGCTCACAGTGTGACTTACCATTGACGCAGAACTCATACGGAGAACACAGCTCGTCTTCAAACAGGCAGCCTGGAAGAGAGCGGAGACAAGGATTACTAACACAGACAGAAATAACGCTCTATACGACAATTTTGATGATTAAATACATTATTTATAGAGCAAACATGGAATATATATTATCTGTTGGAGTGGATTGAACAGGTTGGACACAACAAGCATTTTGAATGTCACCTTTGATCAATTTCTGGACATTTTATGGTCTAAATAAATACAATAATGGCTATAAAGGCAAAAACAACCTTAGATAGAGAGAGGGTGTTTCCCCCGTTACACAGAGCAAAACATGGCATTAAGTATCTTGTTAATTGGAAATGATATGCTTTACTTAAGGTTTGAACTACAGGTGAGCCAAACAAAGCATTTTGAATGTCACCATGGACGTTTTTGCTCAATTTCTGGACGTTTTATGGTCTAAATAAATACAATAATGGCAATTAAGGCAAATTAAGTCATTTTTAAAGTCATGCAAGGGGCAGAATATGGCATCTTGTCCACTGGAAACTGTCTCTGCTTCGAATTATTGTAGGTTGAATGTACACAGAAGTAAAAACTCCTTTCAGGCTCAAAACAATAATCCCATCGCCAGCCACTTTTGAGTTTGTTTAAAAGTTCATCCTCCAGAGTTTATAGTGGAAACACACGGACAACTGGGTCAAGCATCAGCACTCCTTCTTTCCTTAAGTCTTTTATCTATTTTCCATGTCCCTGCTTCAGCTCATCAGAAGCAGGGAAGTAATTGGATGCATCCTCTGAATACAGATCAGTCTGTCAGACCTCTCTAAATAATGAGAAGGGAAAGGTGTGAGGAGAGATAATCAGGACAAGTTTCTGCAAGTTTCTCCTTTGCAGATCCATCATAATGATCTTTATTATAACTGTAAAGTTTGTCTGCATGATAACCTGATTATACAGACACAATATGCGGCCGTTTTGTCGAGAACTGGAGGGCACATTTCATGAAATTACATCATTTGGAGTTAACGGCATCGATATGTCAGCAGAATGGCTGTTTAACGACATCATAACGGAAATGTACGGTCGCTCCGATCTCAAAACCGAAGAGGCAGAATGTCCTGAGCTGGAGAGAAACTACTTGAAAAGCAAACAGCACAAATGGATTTTCTTACAGCTCCTTCTACCATTATTTTTAAAATACTCACATCGCTCATTTTCATGGATGCATGACGCCACTTTTTAAAGGTGAGGCATAACTCTGAAAAGTTTCCTGCTACAGCAAATCTATAGTGAGTGGAAATGTAAAAAGGAGGAATTGAAAAACTATCTGCTCATTTGGACGGTTTATAATAACTCTCACTGCCAGAGACAAATCCACAGGGATGAAATGTATAAATAGTCAATTTAGAGATCAAATTAAATTACCTGTGAGTGAGCTAGCGAACGTTAGCTGTCTTTATATCAAGCTAACTAGCGAAAGTTAGCTATCTATCAATCAATCTATCAAAATCACTACAGACAATTAGCCATCTTCTTTACAAACCTGCAATTTAGAAGCAAATTGGAGTTGGAAAACAGATCAAATAGACAAAACATTCCTTCAAATTGTCCCACAAAGAGTCGAAATGTGGTTTTTGCAGCCAAATTGAATTCTGAAAAGGTCAGATTAAGCAACAAAACATCCAAATTGGTGAAAAGGTTTTGGAAATATTGTCCATATAGGCTATAATGCTAATTACTAATGTACTCCACTTATGCTAATCGCACAAATTGCCCAACATATGCAATCCAGCTGTTTCTAATTGCCCCTACTTCACATTACTTACATCAAACTTTGGGGTCCTCAACATGTCCAGGTTGTTGGCATTTAGACTATTTTACAGACAGAACCTCTCCCCAGAAGTTAAGATTAAAGCTGAGTGCAAACAAATTAAATGTAAGACACTTCTAAACCCTCAGAAACTGTCGTGCAGTCCCTCTTGACTCTCGCTCTGAAATTAGTGTCCGTCCATCAGCTTCTCCTCCTCTCAATATTAATTACGACCCTCCGATTAATGAAGCATCCAGTCAAGCATAGTTAGTCCGTCACAGTGTGTGTGTGTGTGTGTGTGTGTGTGTGTGTGTGTGTGTGTGTGTGTGTGTGTGTGTGTGTGTGTGTGTGTGTGTGTGTGTGTGTGTGTGTGTGTGTGTGTGTGTGTGTGTGTGTGTGTGTGTGTGTGTGTGAGAGAGACAGGGACATAAGCCATGGAAGAGTTGATTAAAATGGCGCTTTTTAATTAAAATGCAATCACAGTGGATGCTTCTGATTACCTGAGAATGCTCCACTCACCTAAGTAAGAATAGAAAAGGTATCCAGGTTGTATCTTAACGAAGCTTCCTGACAAAAAGGCACTATTGTGTTGTGTAACTATATCCATCTAGCAAAGAAAATAACCTTTCTAAAAAAGCACTAAACAGGCTATTGAGTGTTGATGCTGAGTTGCCAAGTGAACATCATAACAGCGGCTCATCAATGGGAAGTGGAGCCTCAGTGGGATTTAGTGTAAATACAGATAACCTGAGTGGGCTGCTTATTGTGGAAACTCAACCTGTTGTGTAATGTGTGTATCCGCCATAACTAGCAGCTGCTTTAAAGAGTACCTGACCTCCCTTTATATTAATAGAACAATAATGTCATTGTTAGCTAATGAATGTTTCCATGCTGAACAACGGCAACATGACAACGTTTTCATTGGTCCCTCTTCTTTAGAGAAGACCAGGAAATGATGGATACACGGATCGTGTTCAAATCAATAGGCACGCAATGACTCTAAATAATAATGATCACGCCACCAAACACACATTCAAACTAAAGGAACCAGCCTGTTTGGGAAATGTGACAAGTAGAAAGTACAGGTATTTGTGTTCAACATGTAAGAAGTAGAAAGTACAGGTATTTGTGTTCAACATGTAAGAAGTAGAAAGTACAGGTATTTGTGTTCAACATGTAAGAAGTAGAAAGTACAGGTATTTGGGTTCAACATGTAAGAAGTAGAAAGTACAGGTATTTGAGTTCAACATGTAAGAAGTAGAAAGTACAGGTATTTGTGTTCAACATGTAAGAAGTAGAAAGTACAGGTATTTGAGTTCAACATGTAAGAAGTAGAAAGTACAGGTATTTGTGTTCAACATGTAAGAAGTAGAAAGTACAGGTATTTGAGTTCAACATGTAAGAAGTAGAAAGTACAGGTATTTGTGTTCAACATGTAAGAAGTAGAAAGTACAGGTATTTGAGTTCAACATGTAAGAAGTAGAAAGTACAGGTATTTGTGTTCAACATGTAAGAAGTAGAAGGTACAGGTATTTGGGTTCAAAATGTAAGAAGTAGAAAGTACAGGTATTTGTGTTCAACATGTAAGAAGTAGAAAGTACAGGTATTTGTGTTCAACATGTAAGAAGTAGAAAGTACAGGTATTTGTGTTCAACATGTAAGAAAAGAAGTAGAAAGTACAGGTATTTGTGTTCAACATGTAAGAAGTAGAAAGTACAGGTATTTGTGTTCAACATGTAAGAAGTAGAAAGTACAGGTATTTGGGTTCAACATGTAAGAAGTAGAAAGTACAGGTATTTGTGTTCAACATGTAAGAAGTAGAAAGTACAGGTATTTGTGTTCAACATGTAAGAAGTAGAAAGTACAGGTATTTGGATTCAAAATGTAAGAAGTAGAAAGTACAGGTATTTGTGTTCAACATGTAAGAAGTAGAAAGTACAGGTATTTGTGTTCAAAATGTAAGAAGTAGAAAGTACAGGTATTTGTGTTCAACATGTAAGAAGTAGAAAGTACAGGTATTTGGGTTGAACATGTAAGAAGTAGAAAGTACAGGTATTTGTGTTCAAAATGTAAGAAGTCAAAGTAAAAAGTCGTCAGAAAAATAAGTAGTGGAGTAAAGTACTGATACCAGAAACATGTACTTAAGTACAGTAACGAAGTATTTGTACTCCACTACTTCCCACCTCTGTGATGTTTGACGGGGGCCAAAGAGGATGCTGGGAGTCTGGCAGCAGCCACAGGACATAATTCACTCTCCGACATTTCTTTTATTATAATGATAAGCTGCCACCAAGGACACCTGACTCATCTTTACTCACACATGCAGCCACACAGCAGCCAAAAAAGCCATTTCAGAGCCGCGGGCGACACCGGCAATAAAAGTGCGAGTGAATTGAAAAAGGGAGCATCACCTGAAAGCAAATCAGCCTGACACCATGTCCGCAGATTTTAACATCTTGTGTCATTAAGGCGTTCCTCTTTCTAAAATTAGAGATGTCAGAAAGCTCCGTTCTTGTTAAAGCTGCATGTCACACGTCGGCAGCGCTGCCAAAAATGTTCATATATTCCTCGTGGAGTTCTCAGATTAACACGACAAGAGTTTGATTTAACAGATGTTTGAATACTGCGACATCTCCTGTACAATCCCTTTAACACCACAAAAATACCATGCTACGTTACTTTTAAAGGTAAAGTTTGACAATTAGGGGAATGCATTTATTAGCTACACACATTTAGAGGTTTTTTACACGCCAAATCTGACCATTTCTATTGAATCTGGCAGACTTACTTTCATTTCTTTGGGCCCTATTTGTCGGTTGTTATTGTAAAAGGAACTTCCTGAAGTGAATCTCCTGTAACCTCCTATGCACGTCTTGACATCTGAGCAGAACTGTATTTGTCATGCAATTACTTAGTTTGTAAAAATTAAAAAAGCTAATATTGTTAAAGAAAGAGAAATCACTATGACTCATGTCTTCTTCTCAAAGCTACAGCCAGCAGCTAGTTAGCTTAGCACAAAGACTGCAAGCAGGGGGAAACAGCTAGCATGGCTCAGTTAGTGATATTTTAGACATGCTCTGATCTTAGTGTATTTCCCAAAATAACATGTTTTTTTGCTTTTATCCAAAGCAACCCACATACACTTCAGTACCGTAGACATGCCTTTGGGAGCAACCGGGGGTTAAGCCTGCACCAAATGTGATGCATGAGAGAAAAACGTTATTTAAAAAGATGAATAATTAAC